CCCCCCCCCCCCAAATGGCCAATACAGCGGCAGGCGCGCTGCGCTGATCTGAAGCCAGGAGCCAGGTGCTTCTCCTGTTCTCCCATGCAGGTGCAGGGCCCAAGCACTTGGGCCATCCTCCACTGCCCTCCCTCCGGGCCACAGCAGAGAGCTGGACTGGAAGAGGAGCAACCAGGACAGAACCGGCACCCCAACAGGAACTAGAAACCAGGGTACTGGTGCCGCAGGCAGAGAATTAGCCAAGTGAGCTGCGGCGCCGGTCCACATGTGTTATTTAAAACTAAACGAGGACCTCAATGATGTGTCACCTCTTCTAGCCCAGTCAGTTACATCTACTACCAAAGCAGAAGAAAGAATATCTCTTATCCCCTGATCCACTGTCCCATAACCTTGTTCTTGATTAATCGAGTCCCTCTCTAATTGCAGAAGACTGAAAAAAAAAATGTCTCTGTGGTGTGTGGAGATGGGAATGGACATTTTAAATTTGGAATTATACTTAGCCTTTTTACTTGTGAAACCATATTTTACGCTGTGATAAATATTTTGCTTTTTTGTGGCTCATGAGATAATTATTAAGTGTGAATAATATTGAAAAGTCTGAGATGTGTATCTAATGCTCATATACAGCATTATCTAAGGAAATCGGAGAGAAAGTTGTCTTAACCTCCATCTTAGTGCTCATCACCATTTGTGGATACTCTAGATACACCAACCAGGTCATTCCCCCCTGCCACCCTTCTTAGCCCCATCACATCCTCATTATATTTCTTCCCTCTCAGGGAGGAACAACAGCAAAATTTAATGCACTACCTACTCCATTACAAAATAACAATATTCTACTTTTGGAATTTTATGTAGCTGCCATGTAAGCAGTGGTCTGCCATTCATTCTGTATGCTCAAGAGTTTGTGAAGCTAAATCTCATGAATGGTTATCACTTTTTCTTCTAAACAAAGCAAGTCCTACCTACAAGACATGATCTTACGATAAGCTTATAGATCTGTTTATTGTGTGTTTTTTTAACTACTAATAAGATATATCATTAATGAAAAGCTTGGAGAAAATTCTGTTTAATTTGATATTACATGCCGTATATCACATTTGTTCATAAGGCTCTAAATTCCAATTTTTAAGTTTTAGCAGCATAGTTATGTTCTATTTAACATGTTGGACTTTTGCAAACTACTAAAAATATTTTTTAAAGATTTTATTTATTTATTTGAGAGGTAGAGTTACAGAGTGAGAGGGAGAGACAGAAAGAAAGGTCTTCCTTCCGTTGGTTCACTCCCCAAATGGCTGCAATTTTTCAGTTGCGCCGATCCAATGCAGGAGCCAGGTGCTTCTTCCTGGTCTCCCATGTGGGTGCAGGGGCCCAAGAACTTGGGCCACCTTCCCCTGCTTCCCCAGGCTACAGCAGAGAGCTGGATTGGAAGAGGAGCAACCAGGACTAGAACCGGTGCCCATATGGGATGCCGACACCACAGGTGGAGGATTAACCTACTGCGACATGGCACTGGCCCCCTAAAAAACATTTTATAAAGCAACAATGGAAATATCTATGTCTGCACATTTCAGAATCATCCAAGTAATCATTACAATAAAATTACTATATACCAATCATTGTGCTAAACTTAAATGGGTAACAAAGAGAAATGATGAAAACTTTTGAGTTAAGTCAAAAAAACCTTTTGAGTTAAGATAGAGAACATGAGTTTTTAACCAATGTTTAGAGAATTTTTAAAAATTTTATTCTAGCATCTTTATTGTACTTTGGTCAACTTTAAATAAACTTGCTGCATATTCTAATGTCAAAAGCAGGATTTAATGTCAATCATTCACATAAGAAAAGGGGTAATACAAGGTATTTTTCCCTGGAGATTTTTAGGCATTGTGTAACAATTCCAAGTGAAAGAGTTTTACTAGTTTCAAAGGAAACGAACTATTTCTAAGGGGAAAAGATGAGCAAAATAGCATGAATTTCCACTTCAGAAGCATGAGACACAGGAAATATGTAAGTAAGTTTTTTGAGTCACTGCCAAATTCACACAGACCTATCTAGTCTTTGATTAAGTGCCATTCACTCAGCAAATCTGATTCAGTTAAAGCCAAATTTTAGTTGATTATATCTAAAAAGTTGGTATACAAAATAGAGAAAGCTATATTTGTTGCCAAGGATTATGTTCCTTAAATGTGGGAGCTTGCAGAGGGAGGGAAAAAAAAAAAACAAATAATGCCAGGTGCTCTACCTTCATTATCACATTTAATCCACAAGCAACTTTATAAAATTTGAAATTATTATCCCTATTTAACTGATTAGAAGACAGAAGCGTGGTAAGTTTGGATCTAGTTTGCATACATGTAGTTTGTAAAGTGGTTGCAATGTAGGTCTTCCATGACTCTTGCAGTACAGTGTGCTGTTTCCTTAGCTTTTCTAAATAGAAGTATTCATTTTTATGAGTAGCTTTAAGTATTAATTGAGAAAGTTTGTGAAAACCCTTGGTAAGCACCAAATTATTATATAAATATATGGCATTTTTGTTCCCACTATGTGTAATTTTAAAATATCAAGGGGCAATTGGTTCAATTCATGCTTATATGCTACATTTGTAGATTATTATCCAAAATATTTTTCAAATTACATTACTTTTTTTCACACTAAAGCAATTCCACACCATGTATTAGTGAGACTAGGAAATAAATGTTCACTAAATAAACTTCAGAATGAAATCAGAATCCTTATGCTATTAAAAATCAAAGGACAATGAATGGAACTTCTATAAAACAACTTTCACTTAAGAACTGTAATTTAGGATATGGTCTTCCTATGGCAAAACAACTCAGTTACATGACAATGTCCACAAAAATCACTTTAACTATTTACTTTTAGTGATAGAAGACAGATAGAAAATGAAAAACTTGCAACAGGTGAAAAGATTCACTTATAATGCATTTGATGGGTTTGGCTTCCTACAATTTTATGCTCTCCTTGCTAGTCTATAAGGCATAGTTTTAAAACTTAGTCTTTTCTTGAAACATAACCTACAGAACTGAAACTTTTCAAACATTGATAGCCTTATTTGTCCACATTTCATAAACACATTATTCATGCCATGGAATTCATCTTAGCATATTTTTTTTGACGGGCAGAGTTAGACAGTGAGAGAGAGAGAGAGAGAGAGAGGCAGAGAGAAAGGTCTTCCTTCTGTTGGTTCACCCCCCAAATGGCTGCTATGGCCGGCGCGCTGTGCCAATCTGAAGCTAGGAGCCAGGAGCTTCCTCCTGGTCTCCCATGTGGGTGCAGGGCCCAAGGACTTGGGCCATGCTCCACTGCCTTCCCGGGCCACAGCAGAGAGCTGGACTGGAAGAGGAGCAACCAGGACAAAACCGGCACCCCAACCAGGATACCCAGGGTACTGGCACCGCAGGCGGAGGATTAGCCTAGTGAGCCACAGCGCTGGCCTAGCATATTTTTTAAAAGATTAAGTTCTATTTTATTTGGGCTATAAACTGTACCACTGTAGATTAATAGAAAAATAGAATGTTTGTTGGGAAAATAGAGCAGCAAATAAGGAACAGATCAGTGAGCCCAAGAGGAATGCCTGTGTCTATTGGGATTTTGCAATTGCCAATGAATGGCTTGGAAACTTCAGAAAACTTGTTAGAGAAACCTGTAAAGTTAATTGTATGTCCTGGAGTTTGTTTTCTTGGGGAATGTTGCTCCATGACACTATAGCACAGTCAATGGATGTAGGGGATAAGAATGCTGTATAACTCCTCTTGGTCTTCCAAATGCACACTCATGTATTAAAGACTCTGAGAAGTTCTACAGGAAGCCCATTTAACTGTGCGGCCATTTCCCATGAGTTATTATTTCTTTTGTTTTTTAAAAAGATTTTACTAATTTATTTGTGAGGTAGAGTCACAGACAGAGAGAGGGAGAAACAGAAAGAAAGACCTTCCATCCACTGATTCATTCCTTAAATGGCTACAACGGCTGGAACTGAGCCGATCTGAAGCCAGGAGCTTCTTCCAGTCCACTTGGGCCATCTTCCACTGCTTTCCCCAGCCATAAGCAGAGAGTTGGATCAGAAGTGGAGCAGCCAGGACCCACACCATTTGGGATGCCAGTGCTGCAGGTGGAGGCATAGGCTACTATGCCACAGGGCTGGCCCCACGAGTATTATTTCCCATGGAACACAGTTCTGTCCTGAGATGTAAGATATGCTACAAATCCATTCAGTGGACCATTTGTCAGTCACAGAGTATCAGTTTAACTATGTTAGATTTGGATATAACATCAGTTAAGGTCTTCTAAGGCTTAGACGGTCAGAAAGATATAAACGAGGTTCATTGTCCCAATACCCAATGGAAAAAGCCTGATGCCTGATGATCAAGTAAGCTTTTCATAAAGCTAAATGTATTCCATTTGAAGGGCTGACACTTTGAATCCTTGCATTTTCTGAGATAAAATGTTGGTGATACAGGGTTTTAGTTTTCTCAGCTGAGTTTTATTACAAAACTACAACCTGCATCATGTTAGAGATAAAATCTGGTTTTGCTGACAACTATAAGCTCAACTTTCTGGTTCCAAGCCAAATAGACTTTCATTAAAATTTTTAAATTAAATAACAAGTAATCATCCTGGTTAGCATAACCCTATATTGGGCTGATTATTGTTTCTTAAATTCAGAGTTCTTGGAATCACAGGTCTAGATGAAAGTCAAGTTTGCTAAAACATACAGATAATATTGCTTCAATAGCCTTCTCATCCTGTGGATGCCCAGAGATTACTCCTAGACCCTCTTGCATTTCACTGATGTCATGTGACCAGTCTTAGACAACAGAGCGCAAGTGGGAGTGATTTCTGTAGCTTCCTGTGTAGGTCTTTCTCCATTAGCAGACTGAATGCAGAGGACTGAAGGGCTCTAGGAATTATGGAGCCACAGGATCCTGTGTGAGGAAAGGTAATTACCAAATGAACCACACACACAGAACTATAAATTGAAGATGAAGTAAAATTTATTGTGCCAAACCATTGAGATTTTGGAGTTTGTTTTAGAAGATAGTAACATATGTATCTACATTTATACACAGATACACAAAAACATACACCTTCATACACATACTAGAAGCATGTGCACTAGAAATTTGAAAGAGGTATTTTCTGGGTGACAGTATTAACAGATTCTATTTGTTTTCAAAATTACCATATTTCCTAAATTGTCTTCAGCAAATAGACATCACTACACATTAGGTTTACAATCAGGGGAAAAACACAAAATAAATATTAGATATTTTGGGGGCCGGCTCTGTGGCGTAGCCGGTAAAGCCACCGCCTGCAGTGTCAGCATCCCATATAGGCGCCAGTTTGAGACCCTGGCTGCTCCACTTCCAATCTAGTTCTCTGCTATGGCCTGGGAAAGCAGTAGAAGATGGCCCAAGTCCGAGGGACCCTGCACTCGCGTGGGAGACCTGGAAGAAGCTGCTGGTTCCTGGCTCCTGGCTTTGGATCAGTGCAGCTCCAGTGGTTGCAGCCATCTGGGGAGTGAACCAGTGGATGGAAGACCTCTCTCTCTGCCTCTCTGTAACTCTGCCTTCCAAGTAAACAAATCAAATCTTTAAAAAAAGTTAGATTTTTTTTTTAATGATTCCTAACTGAAAGCCCTCTTCCCTTTTTTTGTTTTATTTTAGTTTGGGGTATCATTCCTCACTTCCTGGATTCTTCAGATCTTTTGTCTGATTTGGATCTCCAAAGCAGGCACACACTTCATCTCCAGTAAGAACTGGCAAAATGACAGTCATAGTGCCTCCTTTCATGGATATTGGAGGATTAGTCACAATACAGTTCTTCCATTGTTACAACCATGAAATGAAGAGGTGCTCAATAAGGGAAAACATTTACCAGGATCACTGTAGTGTAGCTGGATCCTTCATTATTTAGTGTGCATTTCTAATTTTTTATTCTGAAATAATTTCAAACAAGAAATTGCAAGAATAGTATAAAGAACTCTAGACACTTTGCCCAGAGACCTCAATTGTTACCATTTTACTATATTTGAATGAATTGTAATTCTCTCACTGCAGGCAGATGACACGTGATAGATGACACAATACATGATGGACAGAGGAATATAGATAATTAGACAGAGACATAATCTGATAGATAGATGATAGACAAATGGTACATGAAATTATCCTGAAATATTTTAGAATAACTTGAGTATATATATCAAGATTCTTAAAATATGCATAATTATTTCTCTAGCTCCACTTATAGTAACTTAATTACAAGGAAACACTTAGAGACATGAGAAAGTTTCCATTATAAGAATGTTAGTCATCAATATTTACCTCATTGAGATTATAGTCCTTGAAGTCCAATATTAAGTGTTTATTAAGCCAATTTTATAGTTCAATCTATACTGCTTCCAAATGTCCCCTGTAGTCATTAAGATAAAGTTGAAAGCTCTTAATATTTCTGTTTCTGTTGACTGGATCACTCTCATCACATTTAGGATGCTTTAGATCTTGCCTTAACCTCAATCAGAAAAAAAAATGAATTTCAAGGGCCTGAATATATTGGTGTATTCTCCATTGTCTCTGCAGTGACAGGTCAAACCAGAGACTATGGTATATGGAGATTGTATTCTTGCTCAGAGCTCAACCACTCCTGCCTGAGAGCCTGGGGAGCAGATGATGTGCCTTGACCCAGAGCAGCAATAAAGGCCTCTAAAAGAAAGGAGAAATAAAATGCCTGGAAAGTCTGCTCAATATAAGAGGAAATAATTTAGGAGATACTTGGAATTCTACAGAATTTTCAACAAATAACTTTTCCTAATTTCAAATTAGACACCAATTCTTTTTTTTTTTTTTTTTTTTTGACAGGCAGAGTGGACAGTGAGAGAGAGACAGAGAGAAAGGTCTTCCTTTTGATGGCAGGAGCCAGGAGCCAGGTGCTTTTCCTGGTCTCCCATGGGGTGCAGGGCCCAAGCACCTGGGCCATCCTCCACTGCACTCCCTGGCCACAGCAGAGGGCTGGCCTGGAAGAGGGGCAACCGGGACAGAATCCGGCGCCCCGACCAGGACTAGAACCCGGTGTGCCGGCGCCGCAAGGCGGAGGATTAGCCTAGTGAGCCGCGGCGCCGGCCTTAGACACCAATTCTTAAAAGGCATATGTATTCACAAGAATCCTGGGAGAGGAAGAATGTTAGCTTTCTTAAGTAGTATCAGTGGAAAAACAGAGTCCCTGGGCTGGCCCCACAGATGCAATTTTCATCCTTTCCTGGTGGCTGTGTTCACTGTCCATACCAAGAACAACGAAAACAAATATCTATTATGTCAACTCCAAAGGAAATCATTTGACTTTGACACATCAACATTCAGAAAATTCCAAAGCAAAAATAAACATGAAATTTCAAATAGAGAGCATCTGGGATTATCATATTGCTCAAACAAATATTTGAAAGCAGAAATCATAGAATTTTAAATCATACTTTACACAATGAAAAGAAATAAACTCTAAAATACACCTCATAAATTATTCAAACATGTCATCAAGTTCACAAAATCTAAGAATCAACAAGAAAACACTCCAAAACATATTTATTTAAATGATGATATGGTTTGTGTTGGGGACATTGTTTGCAGAATAGAAAGATTAAAAATGGAGTAGAAAATGCAATATTCTATTTTTACTGGCAACACAAGCACAGAGTCATCTGTTTCTCTCGAGGATTGTGTATGATATGACACAAAACTTAAAATTCGTTTAGTTTATTAATGTGATCCAAATGGATTTAGACTAAGAAAGGCAAACAGGACAAAAATAAGATTTGGCTGACCTACACAAAGAGAACAAAAAGAGTGAGAAGATTTTGAATTGGTGATAATTTTATGTGGAAAGTTTGTTTATAAACTAAGAAGATACATCTAGAATATCAACCATGACTCATCCGGAGCCAATGTGTGAAACACCCTACACAGTCACTGAAGAACCACCCAGATCTGATCCCTTCTTCACTGGCTTACACTTTCTAAACTGAGCTTGGCACCTTATCAAGGACCCCGCACAGCACTGGGTTTGCGGCCAGCACCATTTTCTCCTCTGTGTACAATGCATTGCACACTATGTTTGTATTTCCCTTAGCTGCTTTCTTTTTAGTGAGTGGCAGAACTCAACCAGGAAGATCTAAGCAGGGGAGAGCTAAGGAAGTACTCTGAACTTGAGAAGATGATTTGAGAGTGGCAATGGACTCAGATAAACAGGAGATTAGAGTGGGCATCATTAAAAAGCCCTGAGCCAAGGAGTCAACGAGTAATTCTCAGAACTGGGTCATGTAAAAGGCAACAAGGACCACAGTGACACTTGGAAGGTCACACTCAAAGAACAATAATAAAGGAGACAACTGGAATGGAGCCTGGTACTTTTCATATTTTTTTAAGATGAAAGCGTTTTTAAAAGAAACATAGAAGTCATATTAAAAAATGAAATTGCAGCAATGAGTATTTAACAAGGGCTAAGGAAGGAATTAAAGAACTCTTTTATTTCTGCTTAACAGTTCCAATGTGTTTTTAAAGGTCATATTAAGGCTGGTTTTGATTTATTTGGACAACTGTACATAACATCAGGCATTTTGTAGGAAGAAACATGACTGACATCTCTTAGATATACCAGGAAGGGAGCATGGGGAGGGGATGACAGTGATAGCGAGTGTGTGAGGAAAAGTTTGCACACCTTTTGTGTCCACCTCTTCATGCCCAGAGTGGACACAGTCTTTACTCTGTACTTTAAACAATAGGTTCAGATCACAGAAAACATCATCACCAACTGCAACAGAATTAGCATCACAAGGACTTGGCACCCAGCGTGCTGCTGAGTGACATAAAACACAGGAACAACTTGAGAAACACATTTTTGTTCAGGGAAGAGGACGATGAAGTTCCACACACCAAAGGCTCAGCTTTATACGGTCTCTCTATATCTGGAGGCAATGCTGTCATTCCTTGAATCTGAAAAGGAAAGATAAGACACAGCAGATGAGCAAGTGATTTAAGAGCAGGGCTGTAGGCATGCCTGCTCAACTGCTCACACTTCTAAAGGTGGCCAAGGAGGTAGGGGACAGTTGCTGAAGATGCATAAACCATTAGGAGAGTACAATTAAGGGCCTAGGAGGGAGGTCAAAACAAAGTCAGGCTCTCCTTTAGACAAGAGCTACTAAACAGGCTCCAGTGCTTTCTGAAACTCACATCCCCTTCAATTCCTGCTTCACATATCAATGTTAGCGAGAGCGACAGGAGTTTTCAGTTAACCCAATTAATCACTGAACAAACAATTACGAGTTACATAAAAAGGCCAACTGGACCATCAGATTTATGGACGTGTGCCTGTTCCTTAGATTTTCCTGTTGTACACTCTGGTAAGTGTGATGTTTAGGTTGAGAGGTTAAAACAATGTAGGGCTTACCGACCACTCTGCATTGTCTGTCTTGGAACATCTCACGTTCACTGGCAGGCTAAGAACAAGCTTGTTGAATGCAAGACCTTCCTTTTTAGTCCATTTAAACTTATTCATTGCATCCATGAAAGAAAGATTTTTGTACTGCTTGGGACTTTTGATGATGAAAGGCCAAGTCCTAAATTTAAAATAAATAATCACCATAATATTCAAGAAAAAAACCTGTATTTCCTTTATTTTTCAAAATTCTAAGACACAGCTCATAATTGCACACTTTTACACCCAGGGTCAACTCTATGTAAAACTGCTAATGAACTCATTAGAGGTTACTAGAAGAAATAACATGCCAAAGAAGAATGATAATCCTTGTTTGGGTAGCAGAGGAGCATTACTTTTAGACAAATAATTTTACTTTTAGAAAAATAATTTTAGCTCAGAAAGACTCCCACAGCATAATAACAACTCAGCCCTTTGTTTTTGCTACAGTAAACTGGTAAGCATTCATCTCTAAAAAGTGCAATGCTAATGATGCAACAAAGAAACCTGTAGGTTGTTACACAATATTCTAATTCAAATCCATCAGTGGAAAAGCCTGACCCCTGCTGGCTGACATGTTACTGTTTGCCTACAAGAGAAGATGAATACAAAAATACTAATCATAAATCTTTTTTAAAAAATTGAATTTAAATCAATGTTTTAAAACTCCTATATAGAAAAAAATACTCTGTAGTCAATACATTTTGCTTATACTTGCCACTCTAAAAAAGTACGTTTAATATCCAAGAAAGAAAGATGAAATCATGAAAAAATAGTTCAAATGGCTTGAAAAAATAGCCATCAGGGATGTCTTCCATTAAATATTTTTTACCCTATTGATTTCTGGAAAAAGGAAAAGTAATTATTGGCACATCAGAAAAATTTACATCAACTAATCAGATGTAGGATTTGGATCCTAAGCAGGATTTGGATCCCCATGACTTCCCAGGAAGATGTCTCAGGGATTTCCAGCAGTTATTAATCACCAGCTGAGAAACCTACAGTTTTAACATTTGATCATTGTAATTTCACTTATTTATTCACTTTGTTAATTCACAGAATCTACTTAGGTACATTGAGTAGCATCTTTTCAAGTAATGCAAACATCCTTCAATTTTTGAGAGTTTTGAAGATAAATTTTTAATATCAAAATTAAAATAATTTCCTCTGTAGTCTAATAAGTGAGAAAATAAGAAAAACAACAGCTAGTATATCAAGATCTTTACCACCTTAAGTCCTAACATCCTTTTTCTTTTAATTAAAATCAATAATTAATTTATCTTTGTTGAATTTTAAATCTATTATTTTACAGGGAGCTTAAAGGTATATACCATAAAACAGCATCACACTACAATGAACATATCAAGTAACAATTTCAAATCTATAGTTTATTCATATTTAAATTGTGCTAACTTATGCAGAAATGCAGTCCATAATTAGTACAAAAGAAAAGCTTGACTTGAAAAGGGTCTATTATATTTTCATAGAATGTCCTTTTGACTGCACTAAAAGCTATAGGTAGGCTTATTATATATAAAATAATTTTGAAATGAAATATCAACATTAAAATTTATTTTTCTTTTTTTTAAATGTGTAATTATCTTTTTGGATGGATGATACAAGGATGTGTTTTTAAACCTCTTTTTAAAACTTTTATTTAGTAAATATAAATTTCCAAAGTACAGTTTATGGATTACAGTGGCTTTTTCCCCCCTATAACTTCCCTCCCACCCGCAACCCTCCCAAATCCCGCTCGCTCTCCCATTCCATTCACATCAAGATTTATTTTCAATTCTCTTTATATACAGAGATCGATTTAGTATATATTAAGTAAAGATTTCATCAGTTTGCACCCACACAGAACATAAAGTGTAAAATACTGTTTCAGTACTAGTTATAGCATTACTTCACACTGGACAACACATTAAGGACAGAGATCCCAGATGAGGTGTAAGTACACAGTGACTCCTGTTGTTGACTTAACAAATTGACACTCTTGTTTATGGCGTCAGTAATCTCCCTAGGCTCTAGTCATGAGTTGCCAAGGCTATGGAGCCTTTGGAGTTCGCCAACTTCGATCTTATTCTGACAGGGTCATAGTCAAAGTGGAAGTTCTCTCCTCCCTTCAGAGAAAGGTACCTCCTTCTTCCTCCTTCTTTGATGACCCATTCTTTCCACTGGGATCTCACCTGCGGAGATCTTTCTTTTTTTTTTTTTTTTTTTCCAGAGTGTCTTGGCTTTCCATGCCTGAAATACTCTCATGGGCTCTTCAGCCATATCCGAATGCCTTAAGGGCTGATTCTGAGGCCAGAGTGCTGTTTAGGACATCTGCCATTCTATGAGTCTGCTGTGTATCCCACTTCCCATGTTGGATTGTTCTCTCCCTTTTTTATTCTATCAGTTAGTATTAGCAGACACTAGTCTTGTTTGTGTGATCCCTTTGACTCTTAGACCTATCAGTGTGATCAATTGTGAACTGAAATTGATTACTTGGACTAGTGAGATGGCATCGGTACATGCCACCTTGATGGGATTGTATTGGAATCCCCTGGCACGTTTCTAACTCCACCATTTGGGGCAAGTCCGATTGAGTATGTCTCAAATTGTACATCTCCTCGCTCTCTTATTCCCACTCTTATATTTAACAGGGATCACTTTTCAGTTAAATTTTAATACCTAAGAATAATTGTGTGTTAATTACAGAGTTCAACCAGTAGTATTAAGTAGAACAAAAAAAAAATACTACAAGGGATAAAGTATTAAATTGTACATCAACAGTCAGGACAAGATAAGGTGTCTATTTTGAGAAAGAGAAAGCCAACTTTATAACCAGAGAAATGTTGGTAGTGAAATACCAGACTGTGACTACATACAACACCAGAAGGTGGCACCTGAGTCCCTGCTAAGGTGGTGAGGTGGACTAAGTCCTCTGAATTTTCTGCAGCTTTGCTGGGAAGAGCGAATAGTGCAATTATCAGACAGAGATGGAATCTTCAGAAGTTTTGCTGCTATAAGTCAGTTAAGTAGTGTTCACTGAGATTGCATGATATAAAGTGACAGAAAATATGTAATGACATTCTTAACTTTTAGTATAGATATGCAGAAAAGGGCAAACCCAACAGCTCCTGTGTTGAAGACAGAATGACTGAAACTTGGAGACATGGGGACACAGTCATCAACTTCCCTGAGCTGGCATTTTTGTCTAATTTTTTTAAACTTTTATTTAATGAATATAAATTTCCAAAGTACGGCTTATGGATTACAATGGCTTCCCCCCCATAACTTCCCTCCTACCCGCAACCCTCCCCTTTCCCACTCCCTCTCCCCTTCCATTCACATGAGGATTCATTTTCGATTCTCTTTATATACAGAAGATCAGTTTAGCATACATTAAGTAAAGATTTCAACAGTTTGCTCCCACACAGAAACACAAAGTGAAAAATAATAGATGATTTTTTAAATGATGATGAAATCAGATCAGACCTATTGTCATGTTTAATCCCAGTGAGAGTCAAGTTGGGAACTGATAATTTCTTCTTCTTCTTCTCTTTTTTTTTTTTTTACAGAAGATCAGTTTAGTATACATTAACATTAAGTAAAGATTTCAACAGTTTGCACCCCCATAGAAACACAAAGTGAAATATACTGTTTGAGTACTTGTTATAGCATTAAGTCTCAATGTACAGCACATTAAGGACAGAGATCCTACATGAGGAGTAAGTGCACAGTGACTCCTGTTGTTCACTTTACAAATTGACACTCCTGCTTATGGCATCAGTAATCTCCCTATGCACCAGTCATGAGTTTCCAAGGCTATGGAAGCCCCTTGAGTTCTCCGACTCTTATCTTGTTTAGACAAGGTCATAGTCAAAGTGGAGGTTCTCTCCTCCCTTCAGAGAAAAGTACCTCCTTCTTTGAAGACCTGTTCTTTCCACTGGGATCTCACTCACAGAGATCTTTCATTTAGGTGTTGTTTATTTATTTTTTTATTTTTTTATTTTTTTTTGCCAGAGTGTCTTGGCTTTCCATGCCTGAAATATTCTCATGGGCTTTTCAGCCAGCTCCAAATGCCTTTAGGGCTGATTCTGAGGCCAGAGTGCTGTTTAGGACATCCGCCATTCTATGAGTCTGCTGAGTATCTCGCTTCCCATGTTGGACCACTCTCCCCTTTATTTATTCTATCAGTTAGTATTAGCAGGTACTAGACTTGTTTATGTGCTCCCTTTGACTCTTAGTCCTTTCATTATGATCAATTGTGAACTGAAATTGATCACTTGGACTAGTGAGATGGCATTGGTACATGCCACCTTGATGGGATTAAATTGGAGTCCCCTGGTATGTTTCTAACTCTATCATTTGGGGCAAGTCAGCTTGAGCATGTCCCAAATTGTACATCTCTTCCCTCTCTTATTCCTACTCTTATGTTTAACAGGGATCACATTTCAGTTAAATTTCAACACTTAAGAATAACTGTGTATTAATTACAGAATTGCACTCATGCTAACTTTTACATCTATAATCTTGCCAGCCTGTCCTACACCATACTTCCAGATTACCTCCCTGGAGAAAAGACAAGACAGAGAAAGAATAAACCTGAAACACTAATTTTAAGTATTTATTCTGAGTGTTTTCCTCCAAAGACTAAGGTTTACATCAAAACACAGGTAACCATAAAGTAGTAAGGACTTTTGCTGTTGGGAGAATGAGGGTTAGGGTAGAAATATTAAAAGTGTTATAGAAATGAAAGCACACTTTTCCAAGCCTCAGTAGTGTCAAAATGCTCAGCCAGATACATATATAAATAAAACTGCATTATTTTTATAATGCTCTAGTGGATAAACACAAGTCATGTTCATGTTAAGATTTAATAGGGATTGGTAATTTCCCTTTGTAACTTCAATCTAAACTCTGAGATGTATTTTTCTAGGAAGGTAGCAAGGTTTATAATACATGATCGTAGAGTACATTCTAACTTTCCAGCAAATATAAAGCAATTTATATTTGTGAATTCAGATTGGCCAATGGGAATTTAAAAGTTTGGTGATTTTTATAGTTGGTATCCCTCCTTGCTCTTCATAAACTGAGCAGATAAAGGAGGATAATGTGGCTTCATTTCTTCCATGAGCCACTCTAGGTTCCAAA